GTTCCTCCAGTGGACCACTCAGCATGAGGATTCTCATGTATTCACTGGAAGCTTCTGGTCTCTGTGTGCATACAGTGAACACAAGACCCTCAGAACCAGCTGATGACCTTGGGGATTGGATAGCTTCCACTGCAGACACTGAGTAAGACTTTTGTCTATTTCTATGATCATTTTATAATTCCAGCTGCTTCCATGGATCATTCTTATTTTGCAAGGGTTCTGACTGCTTCTTCTTAGAATGACAATTTTTCTCTTTTGTTCTCCAAGTTTTCATATTTTTTTAGTAGACTTAGTCATCATACCATATGTTTTATTATTGTGGCTAGTGCTTTACTTCATTCTTCCCTTTTCTCCACAGAGCCCACACAGGGGAAATCTACCAAGATCTCATGGATTTACCCTCCTTTGATGCAGCTGGGAGATTAACTCCACACAAGCTCCTCCCATGAGCAGGACTCCTTCGCCACCAGGGACCCACAACATACACCCTGAGCCAGTGTACATCCTGGACCTATCAAAGCATTTATGTTTTGCTGAGAGGTCTGCCCTTTTCTCAGCAGACATGATGATGAAGGTGATAAAGTTTTTATACTCGTGTGTGTGTGTGTGTGTGTGATCATCAGGCTCCACATCTACACCACACCTGGAGGGGGAGGGGGAACCACTGCTTTCCTGTGCTATCACTAATATTGATGCTGTGAGCATGGTTCAAGACTGTTCACACCAGATTTTCTTCTTCCCTTGCTTTGGATTATTGATGCCGCTGTAGCCTCATGTCCAGCATGCACTTTATGCTGCTTCTAACAAGCTTTCACATTAAGCTCGGTGGTCCTGTGATGCACAGGGATTGCTGCTGGGACTTCTCTAAGTTTCAGTGTAGGTACATGGAGAGATTTATAATTTATTCATATTTAGAGACAACAGTAAGCAAATGTAAGCAACTCTGTGCTTTGTGCGTATTACAATATTTATTTCCTATGAAAACCAAGTTTCAAATCAGAGAATGAATAGGTAAGCACAGAATCATGTGAACGGGGAATCTCCCTGGGGGCAACAGCTATAAGTGGAGAGGAAGGCCCAGACTCTAACAGGAAGCCTGCCTATAACCTCCATCTGCACCTGCTCCTGGGGCTTAAAAACAGAATTGGGGAGTAGTGTGCACACCCTGGGGCCGGATCACCTCCTACAGGGAGGTTTGTGTCTGAGCTCACAATGACCTCTCCTCACTGTGTCACTGGCACAGTAATACACGGCTGTGTCCTCGGCTCTCAGGCTGTTCATCTGCAGATACAGTGTGTTCTTGCCGTTGTCTCTGGAGATGGTGAATCGGCCCTTCACAGAGTCTGCATAGTATGTGCTACTTCCATCATAGCTAATATATGCGACCCACTGCAGCCCCTTCCCTGGGGCCTGGCGGACCCAGTTCATGCTGGAACTACTGAAGGTGAATCCAGAGGCTGCACAGGAGAGTCTCAGGGACCCCCCAGGCTTCACCAGGTCTCCCCCAGACTCCACCAGCTGCACCTCACTCTGGACACCTGTAGACACAAAACATCCTGGTCAGGAAACTGTCACACAACCACTTTTTCGCTCACTCACATACTCTCATACACTCAAAGTGTCTTGTTCACCATAAATTACCTTTTAAAAGAGCAACAAGGAAAACCCAGCCAAGTGCAAACTCCATGGTGAGTTGTCTGTGTTCT